GCCACAACCCTGAATGACTTTCCAATTGTTTCATCAAAGTCACTAATCCAGGCCTTAGCAAGGATCTTTACCCACTTACACTTATTTAGATACAGTCTGCCTTCAAGCTCTGTGAGTGACCAAAACTGAAATTGTAGCAGATGAAACACAATCTTTCAGCATAAAATAACATATACAGCCTTCAGTTTCCAGAGCAGAAATTTAAGGTTTTTCTCTTTTGAAAACTAAGAATGTCTTTCAAATATCTTATCTATGTGCAACACATTCTGGAAATTTTGACCCAATTTCATAATCTAGACTTGAGAATAGACCTATTTCAAGGACCAGAGATACTCACAAAGTAATTAGATCTCTGCCTCTCAGTGATAGGGCTAAACAGTTTTCTTGCTCGGTCTATGCACGCAGAGTTTACATTTTCACACCAATAAAAAGTCTGTCTGCAGAGGTACTGGGGGAGGCAGCAGGCAGGTGGGTGGAAGGTTTTCTTTTTTCCCTGAGATGAAGTTGTAGAAGTACCGATTCAATGTGTTTCTATACTTTGCATCAATTTGATTTTATACTTCATTGTCTTGGGGATAACATTTTATCAATTTTAGGCAGAATTGAAAAGCTGTGCATTCCAAGCTAACAGCTATGCATGGGAATTATCAGCATTGCAAAAATTGTATTACTTTTAATATAGATAGGGTTTTGTGGGGGTTTTTTTGGCATGTTTTGGGTTTTTTTTTTTTTTTTTTTTTTTGTCTGGAGGGGTTACATGTTGTGTTCCAAAGCTTTTGGGAAACAAATTTGCCAAACAGCTTGGAGGGAGTCGTTTGTCAAGGCTTCCTGAAGCTGAAAACTTCTTAAATCAAATTATTGGCAGATGTGTTTTATAAATATATTTGTCTGTAGACATATAGGAAAAATTTGTTCTTCAAAATTTGATTTTACTAGTTTACTTCTAATGAATGCAATAATAAATAGCAACCTTCCAAAAAGCACTCAGAAATATGATCTTTTACACAACTGGATTTTAAGAAATAATTTAGTCCTTTTTACTGACGATGAACAAGAATTTTCTTATTAAAGTTCAGGGAAAAACTGTGAAGGATACTTAGAGATCATTTATTCCAATCTAGTCTTTCCCCTTTTATAACAAGCAAGAAACTCTGAGTTAATCATATAGAAGAGCATTTCTCTGACTAAGAAAAGTTTCCCATTTTTTTCCTATTATGCATTATTTTATTACAATGTCTTCTTGCCACTTTGGACTAAGGTAAAAGTGAAGGGAAAGTCTGTAGGCAGATCTCACAAACTTTAATTCAGAATATATTAAAGTTGTGCTGCTAGGAAAGATACATACGTCATGCAAGCAAACACGTTCATCTCATTTTAATGACAGTGCTGAACTGCTGAATTCTCAGCTCAATGCATTTATGAAGCAGTACTGTTTTGACAGCTAGAGAATGTTTAATTAATAATCATACCTTTCCCGGAACAGATTTCCAAAGTCAAGTGTTCGGGGTGGGGAAAGAGAAGTATACGCGTGAGTCGACTCTGAGTCTACTTTCAGGTTATTTTAGTACTGAATTTCCTCCTTGCTGACCACCATTAGTCCAGTTATGCGACCAGGAGACAAGAAGACACTGAGGAATCGGAGGAACTGGGAGGGAAGTGCAGTCACCCGAGAATACTCATTTAGTGCCTGGTCTGCATCAGGCACTTCAGTAAGCAGGGAGATGATACAAAACAGCTCCTGTCCTCGAGAAGGTAACAGCTCAGGATGGGAGGCAAACATGGAAACAAATAAAGACAATCAAATGTTTTGAAATGTGATGGGAGGAGGTATAAGGTCAATTCTGCAGTGGCGGGGAGAGAAGGGGGGTTGGGCAGAGCGGTCTTGAAAGATGGGTACATATTTGCATGTGGCCCAAGAAGAGGGAGAAAGAAAGGTCTGAGAGGAGAGAAAACAGTGGATGCAAAGGGATGGAGATAGGAACAGCACGGATTTGGGGAACACCAAGTGGTCAGGTTTGACTAGAATATGAGCGTGGGAAGAGAGGAAACTGGAGAATTTGCCGGAAGTCAGCTTGAGGATGGCTAGTAAGGCATGCTAAGGATTTAGGATTTTATCTTATATAAATATAAGTAATGTAAGTAATAATAACAATTGCAATGACTAACATTAAGCACTCATTCTGCACCAGGCATTGGTATGAGCATTTTACATGAACTGAATTCATTTAATCCTACAATAACTCTATAAAATAACTATTATTATTATTACCCTCATTTTACAGATAAGGAAACTGAGACACAGAGATGCTAAATAAGTTGACCAAAGTCACACAACCGACAAAGAGTGAACCCAGAAATCAAACCTAGGTAGTCGCAATCTTGACCACTGGTTTGGGTGGCTACCTAATGGGTTGGTAACTTTTTTCAGCCGAGGGTGACATAATCAGATTTTATTTTAGAATGATCACTCTGGAGGTCATGTGGAAGATTGGAGCTGGTGGGCAGGTGGGAGTGGGTAGTTGAGGAAGGGTCTAGAGAGACCAGTTAGGAGACTTGTACAAAAATCCAAGGGAAAGGCAATGACTCTCTTACCCAGGAAATTCAGGAAGAAACCCAGAAACCCTCCCTAGCCTTGGGGAGGCTTGGCCCAGAGGGACCTGGTATATTTGACATCTGGAGAGGATTGCTTTTTAGCACTCCCTCCTCCTCTAATAAATAACAGAATTATTTTCAGTAATAACCATGAAATGGAACAAATGATAATGCTCAGAAAGGAAACACAAATATTGAAATTTTTCTTCTATTGAAGTCTTACAAGTAATCACGCCAGTAAAATAAATAAAAATAAAATGAAGATTTTTGTACGAAAAAGAGAAAAGCACAATGGATTAACACTTTAAATCACATCAATATATGTTTTGGAAAAAGAGAGGAAAAAAAGTATTCGTACATATTAGTCCAAAGCAATATTGAGTAATAACAAAGATGACCAAATTGTTCCAAAGAAGCCCATAAATCTAGGCGGGAGAGGGAGATTTAAACATTTACCACATGATAAGGGAGCATCACAGCAGTGGTGTTTGGGCTCAGTACTGAAGGATAAGTAGGAATTCATCAAGTGAACTGGGAACGGGGCCCGGAGAGGGCATTCCAGGAAGAGCGAATGGCATGTGGAAAGGCGTGAAATGCGATGAAGCCTGGAAGAATAGAGCCCTGCAAGTTCTTGGTTTGGCAGACCAGAGAGTCCCCGAGTGAGAGGGACTGGAGAGGAGAGGATGACATTAGAGAGACTGGTGGGACCAAATGTAAAGGGTTTTGCACATTCCAGGGAATCTTAAGAAGACAGGTGGCAGCGTGGGAGGTAGACTGGTTAGGGTGGTGATGGGAGAGACAGAAAGACCCAGTAAGAGGTAATAGGGTCCTAAACGCAGACAGTGGCAGTGGGGATGGAAAGCAGAAAACAGTGTTAGGATGGGTGGGCATCTGGGCACAGGTTTCCCCCAGGGGACCAGGTACCAAGCCTGAATCTCAGCCTTTCCTGGCCTCTGGTTTGTTTTGTGATGTGCTGCAAGATCCCAGCAGATGTGCCTCACACATAGTCGGTGCTGTAACTGGCATCAGATAGTGTCTTGCACGTTGCCCGCTGAGAGAAAACGTCTGCTCTTTAGCCAGTAGTTCCAAAGATGCCTTGTAGGAAGGCTGACTATAAATCCTGGTTTGCTGTGGACAGTATGGGCTTAAATTAGATGTCTGGGCAAATTTATTAACAGTGTTCCCTTTCACTCTTAAAAGTATCCCGCTTTTGATGATAATTTATATGGTAACATTATCTTTGGGTAACCCTTCTTGAATGGCCCCTTGTGGGTTCCTAGTTCTGTTTGTGGAATCTTTTTTTTTTTTTTTTATAATTTTATTTTTTTCCCCCAAAGCCCCAGTAGATAGTTGTACGTCATAGCTGCACATCCTTCTAGTTGCTGTATGTGGGACGCGGCCTCAGCATGGCCAGAGAAGCGGTGCGTAGGTGCGTGCCCGGGATCCGAACCTGGGCTGCCAGCAGCGGAACACGCACACTTAACCGCCAAGCCACCGGGCCAGCCCTGTTTGTGGAATCTTAATGGTGGTGAGGATGGGAAGAAGGCATGGACCTCATTTCCGCCTGGATCAATCTGTCCCTCTGTGCTCCACCCTGGAAAAAATTCCCCTTCATGTCTCCAGAAGAATTACGGGGATGCAACCCTGAGGGAGAATGGAAAGAGTATGGGGATGAGACTATTGAAAATTAGAGTCTCTCTTCGCTATGTCCCCAAACAAGGTGTGCAGCCTCAGGCAAGTGGCCCACCTCTCTGGGCCTGAGGGTCTTCATATGGGAAGGGAGAGGACTCAGCCAGAGGCTTCTAAGGTGTCTTCCAGCTCCAAGGAATTCCCAGAGGGCGCACTTTCTGGAAGCAAATAATATATGGCAGCTCCTCAACTCCTACCCTCTCCTGAGAATCACCACCAACCCCAGCTCTGCCCAGAACGCACCGCTCATCCCATTATTCCTGCATCTGCCCTGGGGTGTGATCACCTTCGCAGGCTCCGGAAACACCAAAGGCTCTCAGGGGCCAGCCCCGTGGCTTAGCGGTTAAGTGTGCTGCTCCGCTGCTGGCAGCCCGGGTTGGATCCCAGGCGCGCACGGTCCCACCACTTGTCTGGCCATGCTGAGGTGGCGTCCCACATACAGCAACTAGAAGGATGTGCAACTATGACATACAACTATCTACTGGGGCTTTGGGGGGAAAAAAAAGGTTCTCAAAGCTACTCCTAGAGCAGCAGGAGTCCTGGTTAACGCAGCAGCTAAACACCAGCTGAATCAACTTGCGACCCCGCCGCGCACCCCACTGCTCACCCACTGGGCGGGCTGTGAGCCCCAGGGCACCCTGCTGCAGCCGACTCCAGTCTCCCCCAAGCGTGGCACAAGGCTTTATGCCTGTTTGTCTGTTTTTGTTTGTTTGTTTTACCTTGACCTTCTCTTCCCATCCCTTTTTGGGCGCGGGGACCCGTCTCTGCTCTTCAGCAGGCTGGGAAAGTCCGCAGCCCATGGCGTGCGCCGCGCGCTCCTCCTCGGCCCAGCTCCGCCGCGCGCCCCTGCGAGCGCTCCCCGCCGCGCCCCTGCGCCCGGGCGCCCGCGGTCCAGCGCCCCGGAGCCCCGCGTTCCTGTCCCTGAGCCCCAGTGCCTCCCGCCTCTCCCACCTCCCGCGCTTAAAGGCTCGGCAGGAGGCGCTCGGCGCCTGGGCAGTTGCCGGGAACTGTTGCCACAATAAATCGCATCACGCGGACTGACCTGGGACCTGGGGGGCGGTGGGACTTCTGTAACTGGAAACTGGAAGATCCCTGGTATTTCAATCACAACTAAAATCCAAATTGCAGCCCTCTCCAGGGCGAAGTGAGGGGAGAGCGCGCTGCCTGGTCGAGTTAGTTTTTAAAAGTACCCTAATCGTAGGCATCCTGCGGCGACCTCTTATTTTTCCCTTTCTAAGGCACCATGGGACACACCTGCACACCCCTGTGCCTGGGCTGTGCCCCCGAGTTGTTGGCTTTGTGGTTCAGACTCTGCAGGGCCTGCGTAGAAGGCGACTATGAGGACGTCCAGTCGGCGGAAGCAGCTCTTGAGGACGGGCGGGCAGTGGAGGCGGCCTGGACAGCACCAGACCTCAGTGTCACAGGGCGACCTCAGAGAGGACGGTCACACAAACAGAAACCCGCACCATGAAGAAAACCAGACATTTAGGATCATAAACAGCTCAGCTGCTGCGAAATGGGTCAGCAAATCATTTTTATGGACGATGCATTTTATGAGCTGTTACACTGTAACGAAAGAGGATGGGTATGCATATTTCTCTCAGAGAATTAAATAAAAACGGTGTAATCCATCAAAAAAGGCAGACCCGGAAGGCTGCTCAACTGAGCAACAAGTTGTTCTTTCCTGGATTTTCTCTTTTTATCTTATTTTCAATTAATTTCTATTTTCCAGAATTAAAAAAAGAAAGGAGCTGAAAGGGATCTTAGACATAATCTACCAACCCTTTATTTTACCGGCTGCAAACAGGCTCAGAGAGGTTGAGTAATTTAGATGGGAAGGGAGGGGGGTAGTTAGGCAGGGATCTGGGATGAGGAACCAGGTGGCCTGACTCAGTCCCTCCATGTGTCCACAACACCAGAAAAGTACTAGCAAGGATTTTTGGAAATGTAAAAATCCTAGATCCTTCCAGGGAAGTTAATGGTCAGCTTTGTTATAGGAAGTGAATTATTTACTTTATCGCATTTAAACTCATTTCACTCTCTCTCCTTCCTGCTTGGATGGTGTTGTCTTGTCAATTTTCCTTTTACTAAAATTGAGCAAGAGGAAGGAGGAGATGAAACTCAAGTCAAAGCATTCTAATTATTGAGCCAGAAGCATTAAAGATTTGTGAACGGCAAGTTGAAACAAGGCTAAAATGGTGTTTGGGGAACATCTCTGATAGTATTAACTCATGGTATAATGAGTCACCTGAAATGTTCCAACTGGAAACGGGAAAATTTTCAACTGGAATAATCCAACACGGAGGACACCTATAAAATATTCTTGAGAAAGTTTAATCAAAGTTTGTAGGATGAGCTATAAGAGTGAAATACTGGGGAACTTTTTTTTTTCTTTCAAGGCAATCTGTGAACAGAGGTTAGCTATGACATGAGTGTGAATGAATGAGGTGGTACCCCAAACGTGTTGTGCAAATATCTTTTGAAGCATCCTATAACTACAGCAAAGTTGTGAAAATGTTCTTTTTCTAGGGATGTGCTAAGAGCCTGTCTCATGAGAGGTGATTATCAGGAATATTTGAACCCAGTTGCTAAACACAACCATTATTAAAAATTAAATTATATAAACTTACAACTAAATTAGTTATATTAAAAACAAAGGTAATAAATACAACTCATCAGTTCCTAATTATTCTATGACAATTTACTATTATTATGTTTCTGAATTTATGTATATCTGGTGTATCTGGATGGTGTGCTACTGTGTATCTCTTCCCAACTCCAGCTTCAGTGGAATTTGAAATCAGCCAAGGTGGGAATGTGTACGCCATGAAAATCAATAAATACTACAAGTCAGGGCTTTCTCTTCCCATAGAGCTGGTTATTAAACATTTACCAGCACACCACCGCCTTTTCCCTTATATTCTAGAATGCCAAGTAATGGCTCTGACCTGTTTGCCCTTCTCTGATCTCTTTCTGCAGTGAAGTGGCCTCGGTCACCCCTAGCCCTAGCCACTGACTGTGTGTGTGTATCTTTTCAGTCTCTTTTCACCCTGGAGCTGGGGCTCCATGCTCTGGGTCCTTGACTATCATGCTCTGGTCTTGGATAACCTGTTTCCACCTTGAAGACTGCTAGAGCAAAAAACCCTTTGATTCTCGCCAAAGCCAGGCCATCACTTGCTCATTTTAAGGTTTGACTACTATCCTTAATTTTTCTCTTCGGTTTTGAATAATCTTGAGAAGGTTAACTCTCCACGTCCCTCCAGAATTTATTTGAGCCTGAGGTTTGTCCTGAGCTTTTTTCTCTGGAGTGATGAGGATAATGCAAGGACTGGTGCTTCTCAAACTTTAAAGGCCATGCCCTGGAGATCTTGTTAAAATGCAGATTCCAGTTCAGTAGGTTTTCAGCGGGGCCCCAAATGCCACATTTCTAACAAGCTCCCAGTGATGCTGTAGCTGTTCGTAGAGGATCATACTTTGAGCAGGAAGGGTATAGAACACGTTTGAATGTTACATCATTACTTCAAAAGACAGAAAGGAAAAAGGAAAAATGGAAGGAAGGAGAAAGAATTGAAGAGGAAAATGACGAGGAAGAATTAAAGTCCATTAGACAATCAAGTAGAGAGGAAAAGAAACCCTGGCCTGATTTTATCAAGGTATTCTCAGTAGAGGAAGCAACTTTATGCATAAAATTACAACTAGGAGCCCAGTGCCACACTAGCTTCTTCCAAGATCAGACGGAATCGGGCGTATTGAGAGTGGTATGGCTATAGACCACACCAGCTTCTTATCCCTCTTCTCTGGTAGAGAAGGGATCTTCGTGAGTTAGCGGGTCAGGATGAAGAAGAAAAGAAAATCCTTACTTGCCATCACCCAAGCTCTGGAGTTAGTTTTCCCTCTTCTGTCTGTTCTGGGAGAAAGTTATCCTTCCAGGGGCGACGGATAAACCAGAGAGCAGAGATGTCTTTTTGCAGCGCCCGGAGCATTGGTATGTCAGGGTGGGGTCGGTACCACACAGCTGAGGGGTTTCAATTTCACATTGAGACCTTTCTGATTTCAGTTCAAACCCTAAGCTTTTCTAGGAAGGGAGAGGTCAGAGAAATCAGTTCTGATCCCACCACCAAATTCGCTTTTTACTAGCGTTCTTCAATGAATAGAAAAATTTCGCGCTGAACTTCATTCCCAGACATATCCCAACTCACTAATTATTACAATAACAGCTGACATTTTTGAGTGCTCACTAAGGATGAGGAAAATGAGGGAAGTTGATGGCTACGTTGGTATTTCTATTTTATCAGTCAATTATTGGCTTAAGGCAAAGTTGACCCAATCCAGCCCTCTGCCTATCTTTATCTGACACATGAGCTAAGAATGGATTCTACATTTTTAACTGGTTGAAAGAGATATTGAAAAAAAGAAGAACATTAATTAGTGATTCATGAAAAGGATATGAAGTTCAAATTTTCAGTGTCCATAAATCAAGTTTTATTGGAACACAGACACTCCCATTTGTTTCCGTATTATCTATGGCTGCTTTTGTGCTACAGCAGCAGAGTTGAGTGGTTATGACAGAGACCATATGGCCTGCAAAGCTGAAAATATTTATTATCCAGCCTTTTAGGGAAAATGTTTGCTGATCTCTGATTTAAAGTGATAAAGTAATTCCCACAAGGATATTAAATAACTTTGTGGAACCATGACAGCCTGAAAGAGTTTGTACTGCTTCCAGAAGGGCAAAAAGCTCCTAGGGAATGGTGGCCACATAGGGGGAATTTATCTCATTAACTAACTGAACTCCCAGGCCTGTAAAGCATTTTGTGAGGTGGCTTCATTCAGCTGCTAAAACCCTTCCATGCTTCGCTGGAGCACCCCGTTCAACAGGAGGGCTATGGAGTGGGGAACAAAACCTCACTGTGCTGCTCTGCTGTTTTGCATCCTGAGATGTAGTGCAGGGAGCATTGTAGCTTCTGGAAAAAGAGAAGAGAGCACCAGATTGCAAGAAACGGGAGCATTTTGAGTGTCATCTTGAATTTAAAGACCTAATTTTAAAAGCCCACATTGTTCTGGTTCTTTATGTCCCGTTATCGGACACTTCAACCCAAACATTTCTGGAAAACAGTCCTCTCCTTCATACACACATTGTGTCGCTCAGATGTGAGGGGCCTCTGAAGTTTCTATCTCCAGAATCCGCTGGGTCAGGTTGCCTCAGTAACAGTACCAAGAACGTTTAGAAAGCTCACGGATCTATGAACAGTTGTGTGATACAGAAAACTATTATTAAAGGCAAATTGTACCAGAATATTGTCTTGAAAAACACACAACAGCACATTAGCATAATCAGGATTTTGCAATCCTTGTGCAAACGTTTGCAATAACACCAGCAATGAATTAATGGAGTTGCCTCAAAATGCAGAGAGCAAGCATATTTTAGGCATTCCTTTAAGGGACTTGATATGACAGATTCTTGCAGAGAACAACTATAAATAAATAAATAAGCCCACAAACAGGGGGACAATTGTTTGCCAAACCTTGGCATTAAGCCGACAATCTTGATGTTGGCTCATTCAAGGCAAACTGGGTAAATACAGAGAGAAAATGCCAATCTCAGGGAAATAGCTCAGAGAACGGCAGCTTAACAGTAAATTTAGCCATAATAATCTCATAGAATTATAAAACTTGCATTTACATCTACCCTTAGGAATCAGTTCTGAACCACATCTAGATGTTATATGGGTCTAATACTGGGCTGAGAGCTTAATAGGGATGTGTAAAAGGAGAAACAATACTTGCTGAATGGCAGTTGGAAAGGCAAGCTTGCTTTTTAGGAAGCTGTAACAACTCTTAAGGTTACACATGGCAATTTTCACACACTGATAGTCTCACAAT